TTCCAGCAATCATCTGTAGTCATAAAATATTGATTACAAAAGCATCAAATAATATTTACTGTATCCTTGTATAATTTTCCCAGAGTTATAAAAATAACAGACAAGAAATTCTACAATTATGTAATAATACTTTTCATCACTGACATGGGATGGATGGTTATCATACTAAATATTGTAAACTGATTGAAGTTGAAATGGTATCATTGAATTCCAACCAAGTAATTATAATGATTGTGTTTACTGTGAAACCTAAAGCTTTTGACTTCGATCTCTGTCGAGATCATGAGTATATATTGCTAGTGAGTCCTATACTAAAATGAAATAGATGAGCACCGCTTCCCTGATTTTCAATGATTCTCCAACTGAGATCAATCTATAACGGATATAACGTATAGATTAAGATAATTTATTAGTAAACTATTTACCTTTAACATTTGTCTTTCCTTTTCCAACTATCTAACTTACTAACTTACTTACTTACGCCTGTTACTCCAATGGAGCATAGAACGCCGACCAGTATTCTCCAATCCACTCTGTCCAGAGCCTTCCTTTCCAGTTCTATCCAATTTTTGTTCATTTTTCTCAGCGTACTATGTTCTTTGATCCTCCTCTTTTCCTTTGGCCTTCAGGATTCCATATGAGGGCTTACTTTGTGATGCAGTTGGGTTCTTTCCTCAATGTGTGTCTTATCCCCTTCCAGCGCTTCTTCCTGATTTCTTCCTCCTCTAGGATCTGGTTTGTTCTATCTAACATCATGAATATATTTCGAATAATTGTAATTTGTTTTAGTTATTACATGGTAAATTTATTAGTTTACCATTAATTAGTAATAGTTTTGTTTATGACTACACTATGTATGTGTGTGTTTGCGTGTGTGTATTCGTGTATCAGTTTGTGCAAATCCTAATTGGGATTACAGAAGCTACACGTAAATGATAATGATGCATAACTCTTTTCTAGTTCAATCACTTTTTGTTTTACTGCACAAATTCGTTAGATACTTATTACTTTTATGATAACAAATTTATGAACTAAATTGATTTTTATTAGTGTAGGGTTTTGTGGAGATTGTAGAATTTTGATAGTTTAAATCATAAACTGTTGTTAGTTGAATATTATTGTTCGATTTCACTTTTACCTAAATATCTTAGCGTCGATATGATTAACTTCATATAAGTCATGATCTCTTATCATCATTAGAATCAACAGAACTATATGTAATCCATATTGAAATTACCCACTGATGAAAAGAGTATTGCTATTATTTACTAGTAGGAAGTGGTCTCTAACTACCATGAAATACTGATGTCAATGTCTCCTGATTTCGATAACAGGTTATAGTGAGAAAAATTACTTTCGAACTATAAAAAAATCAGTTGTTAGTCTAAAGGTTGGGCGCTCATACATGAAAGTGAAGATCGTTAGTTTGAGTCCCACATGCGGGGTCGTGGATACACACTGCTGAAAAATCTTAGAATAGAGAGAAACATTTATCTAGTGCTTTCTGGAAATATGAATCACTGGGTTGAAACTTGATAGTTAAAAAGCATTGTGTTTACTACCAAGTTGATAATTATTTAGTTCAAAGATAGTTTATCAAAAACTGATTGGGTTTAGTTGGATAATCAGTGTAAATCATTAATCAGTTATATAATTATTTCAGTTTGGTTTCTAATTCTTGAACTATCATTTAGTACCAACAGTGATATTCAACTCAATCTATACCGGACTAGATTCGGTTGGTTACAGATACTCACCAGGAATTTAAGAGTTCTTTTTAAAGTTCGTTGGTCATCTAGGTACATATAAAATGACCAATTTTCAAAAGAAAAATATTTCAACTATAAACAGTCGAATAGTTTACATAGCTAAAAGTGTTCAACTCTGATTATAAAAACAAGCAGTTTTATTAATATTACTCATTAAAATGATGAACAAAGGTCCTATTTCGCTAAGAAGTTATATATGTTGTTTAAAGGCATAGTTCTATTCTAAACAAACGGTCTACAGTAATGTTTTTTATGACATAGGCCACGAGAATGGATACACCACGTTCCATTTTCAAGGTGTCTGGAAAATGTAAACCGCGCTAGTAATCCTAATCATAGAGAGAAAATTCACATTAAGAAGGCTAGAAAGTTGATCACTTTTGATTATTGATAAACCGACAAGAACTTCAGTTGTAAAATATGTGAACCATTGAATTTTAATTCAATGATCTTAAGGAAAAATACTAGTTACGAAGCATGAAGGTTCTAGATCTAATCACTTACAGTTTTCTAAATATTCACTGCTGATGAGTTTCATAGCATGTATTCATTGTTTCCTGATTTTCGAAAGTTCTTTGTCATGGCAAAAATTTCAACTGACCTTTAAAGTTTTAAAAACGATTCAATCTACTCATAAGTAGCTTGAAATTACTAAAGAAAAATAAAACCATTATCACCCTAAATTCATGGGGTATTTAGTCGAGTAAGGTTTCCAAGATATTTATATATATATGTACTTCCGATAACAATAAAATCTAAACTTCTGATACAGAGAGGAGGAAAATACGACAACCAGTAACATTAAAAAATATCGAATTCATCTGGTATTGTTTACTTGAAACTTTCCATTGATATTTAGCGCTACAATTGATTAGTCTCTTATTGACGTATGTGAATACTATGAGGATGGCCTCGATATTATCTTAATTCACAAGCATTATAAACAAAGATGGATATTGACTAGCAGCGGAATCCAGTTTGACGCACGTTTCGTCCTATTTGAGACTTGTCAGCTAGATGTACCTGAATCTCCGAGTATATGAAGTGTCTAACTATTTAAAATGCTCATTGATAAATCCATGATGAATATCTTATTTCAGTTGGAAATCAGTCGCGTTCGATTCATTCCAGTGGGGTAACTTCTCTTTGACCGTGATAAAGGTTCGACTGACGTAGACACCTGCGTTTCTATAAGACTGTATATATATATATTTTTCTAACGAGTGGGAACTAGCTTACAACTATCAAGAATATGTTAAGTCACCCGTTGAATTGTTTTTTTGGTAATTAAAATTTAATTTACCACATGATTTTATACCTATGCAAATTTCTTTATTCTTCCTAGAGATAAAATGATGAATTAAATAGTGAAACAAGTTGATAGTATCCATTAAAAATTATATATTCTAGTTAACCTATTTCATCTCCCTCATTCTCTCTCCCTTATACACAAACTCTTTTTGTATTTCCTTTAGAGAATCTATGGAAACATTACTAGCACAACAAGCTGTAGCAGGTTCAATGGTTACTGGTATACCCCCACATATATTTAGTTTACAACCATCAACAACAACACAAATAATTCATGGAAATGCAAATCATCCATGTAAACAAATGTCTAAAAAAGGCTTTTTACATGATATTGATCAATATAAATCAATAAATAATGATTCTAATTTATGTAAAATATCAACTGGATCAGTATTTACATCTAAAGTAACAACAACAACAACAGGAACCACCACCACCACAACAACAACTAAACCATCAATATTACCAATACCAACAATATCCAATATACTTAATTCATCAATACAATATACTTCTAAATCAATAAATTCACATTATACTAATCAAGGAACTCAGTTCATTACTACAATAAATGGTGAACAAGATTATAAAAATCAATCATTTCAATCCATTTTAGATACAAGTAAACCAACTATTCTTTCATCATCATCACCATCATTATCACAATCTAATGATAATCAATTGATTGATTCAAATAAATTATCATTATTATGGAACCAAAAATTTATTGAAAATACTTTTATAGCCTATTTTAATCAAATTTTATATGAATCTAATATGAATCAATTAGATCATCAAAATATAGAATATTTTAAACCATCTATATCATCATCATCATCATCTTTATCATCGTTATCATCCTCCTCCTTCCCCTGCTCCTTACCCTCCTCATCCTCATCATGTACATCATCACAACTATCATCATTATTACATAATCTTTATCCATTAATCAATAATAAATTAAATCAAGCACATTCTCATTTAAATCTTCCACAAGATACTTTTAATGTATCCACAATCAATGTAGATAATAATAATAATTATGGAAATGATCCATATTCAATAAATAATCCATTCATTAATCAATTAACCAATGATTCTTCACTTTTATTACAATCATATCAACAATTTTTAAAAAATGCTTTACATTTAAATGGATCATTATTTAATCCATTCAATAATGATAAGAAACAATGTAATTTGATAAAACCAATTGACGGAGACAATTGTACTGTTGTTAATAATAATAATACTACTAATAGTAATGATAACAGTAGTAGCGGTAATAGTAATAATAGTAGTGGTAAAATTAATAGTAAAGAATTAACATCACAATCAACACCATTGACAACTGATTGGACAAAATGGACAAGTTTCAATGTATTAAATACATTAAATCAAATATGGAAATCACAATGGAATACAATGAAATTAGATGAATCTAATCTAAATGAAAATAATCCAATCAATAAAGAAGATTTAAATGAATCAATTAAACATAATCATAATCATGATTGTACTACTTATAATGATACCATGGATACTACTGATTATCAACAGATAAGTATATTAGAAAATTTTAAAAAATTTAAATTCATGAATTCTAATCATTGGATGAATAAAGATCATTCTCCTAGAAACAATCATTTATGTAATTCTAATGAGACAGAGGAGATAATTAAACCATTAACAGATTCCATAACATCTATTACATAATGGATTGAAATGTTCCTTTTTTTTGTTTTTAATTTTTATTTTTTAAGTGTTAATGTTAGTTCATTGTGACAATGAATATTCTATGTATTCATATGTATGAATTTGTATAAAACTTATCTATAATTTAGATTATTTTAAATCATACATACTACTACTATTACTACTATCTATACTACTATTGATACTACCATTACTGCTACTACTATGACTACTACTACTACTACTACTACTACTACTACTACTACTACTACTACTACTACTACTACTACTACTACTACTACTACTACTACTACTACTACTACTACTACTACTACTACTACTACTACTACTACTACTACTACTACTACTACTACTACTACTACTACTACTACTACTACTACTACTACTATTACTACTACTACTACTACTACTACTACTACTACTACTACTACTACTACTACTACTACTACTACTACTACTACTACTACTACTACTACTACTACTATTACTACTATTACTACTATTACTACTATTACTATTACTACCAATCTAATTATGACTCTGATTATCAAACATTTCACAATTGAATCAAAGTTTCAAATCGTTTAACTTTTTTTCTCTTTATATACCATTAAGACTGTATTACATAATTGAACTAGCATTTAGTTCAAATTATACTTAATATTAAATTCAAATATTTAGAAATTGTCAATATTCATCTTAAATTAATCATTTGTAATTTATCTAGTTTTTAATTCTTTATAATTGATTAGAAAGGAAACAATAATATGTATAATATACATATATACAAATTATGATTACTATTTATTATTTCAGTAGTTGAAATCATGAATCAATTAAAGCTAGACCATCATGGGAAATCTGGGAGAACTGGATGGCCGTTTCGTCCTAGTATGGGACGATCGCGCCCCCCGTGAGACTCGAACCCAGGACCTATCGGTCTCGCGTGCGAGCGATCAACCACTAAACTAATGAGTCGGTATCTAACGGCGTTAACGTCTAACTTCAATTAATCCACGAAATGGCACCACCGTATACCAATGTTTTTAGTGAGCTGATATCTCACAACAGACCCGGTTGAACTCCACTGGTCACGGCTTCTCATTGGGACTCCATGAAGTGCCTCTTGAAGTCAGTCACTAATGAGCAGATGATTATTTTCAGAAGGGGTTTTGTGGAGATGTTAGTAATTTTAATAGTTGAAATCATGAGTCATTTGGAGCTATTATTTATGTAAATAATGAGTTATAATATGTTAGATATGAAAACTATTTCCAATCTATCCGGCACTATATGATTACTGATAGTGTTATGATAAAAAGGGAGATTTCGATAATTATCATACATAAACTTTGAATAGATACATATACGTAATACTGTAGTGAAGGAGAATAATTATGAGGACAACCGAATTATATTTAGCACAAATGTACAGAGTCACTTGATGAAATAGAAAAAAATCATACTGTAATACTTCATTTGCAAAATGTTCATTAATTGTCCCAGACTTCATTGTTCCTAAACTTCCATACCAATTGTTGTCTATTCTCATTCTTCCCTTCTTGATCTTCTCAATCTTCTACTGCCAGACATTATATTCCCGACTTGCGTTATATACTACTTATGTCAATATAAGTAGCACACATCACAATACTATTTCGTTGAATTATGATATTAATTAATAATTGACAATAAAGTCAAATAATAGTGCACTTAGTTTCGTTTAAATAATTCTCAGAATGAGAATTTGTAGAGATTGTAGTAATTTTAATAATTAAATTTATGAGTCGATCTAAGCTAGACCACCAGTGAAAACCTGGTAGCAATGGACAGCCGTTTCGTCCTAGTATGGGACTCCTCAGCAATGTGGGATCGTATATGTGCATTTCTGAGGAGTCCTATACTTGGAAGCAACAATTATCTAATTCTTCCAAGTTTTCAATGATGATCTAGCTTAGATTGACTTATGAATTCAACTATTAAGTAATTCTGTTAAATGTAATATAGAAGAAAGTAGATTTCCTTGTAAAATTGAAAAAAAACTAATCCAATCTCCTTACATTACAAATAATTACTTACTTTGTTTATTCTGGTTGCAAGGTTGTTTTCTACGGGATGGAGTTGTTGACCTTACATTTAACTCTCCTCCTTTATCTGAGCTTGAAACCAGCAGTAGCCTTTAAAAAATCTATAGACAGAGTTACACAAATAATGGTTTGCATGTAAAATAACAAATAAACATATAATGAACATACGTTATGTTTCAAACCCTACACTTGAATATTTAGTTTTTGTAAAGCGTTTATGTGTTATTCAACCAAATGAATCAGAAATTGTAGATCACTATTTCTAATTTCAATGATCTTTTCATAGATCTCTAACATTATTCAATATCAATGAGTAATCGGTTATAACTTAGTTCAATTTAGTTGTCAGGTAATTTATACAAAATATGAAAGAAATTTTCCAAGATATGATATGTATCCATGGATTTATAACCCATCTGTCATTTCATATTTTGTTTATAGGATGCGTTAAGTATTTTCGGTTATTTTTCTGTTCAATTCAATTGCTCTTTCATTCAAGAAGTTGGAATGGATTATTATTAATGACATTTTCATAGAGAATATTTATATAGACAGCTTCAGATGATTGACATGAAATCCCCACTGAAAATCCTGTCGTTATTTACAACATTCACCTACTAAATTAACGGAAAGTGTTGAATATTAAAAAAACAAGGATGCTTAACCTCACATCACTCATCATAAAAGAAATAATGTTTCTTGTCATTAAATGAATCCATTCAGTATTTATCTTATTTTAATGCACCATTTAAAGGTTACATTCTGATATCAGTTATTTGTGATATGAATATTAATGATGAATCAGTATGTGACCTTTTTTTAAAACAACAATTAGTGTCATATAAATTGCTTTCACTTCTATTGATTTCGGTTCAATCCCAGTGTTGTTTTTGATCATATTTAGTTCAGAATAAATACAATGGATATCTAAGATGCAGTTGGATGATCTAGACTTCGCAGACGATCTGGCCCTTCTATCCCAAACGCAACAACAGATGCAGGAGAAGACAAACAGTGTGTCAGCAGCCTCAGCAGCAATAGGTCTCAATATACACAAAGGGAAAAGCAGGATTCTCCGATACAACACAGAATGCACCAATCCAATCACAATTGACGGAGAAGATTTGGAAGATGTAAAAACCTTTACGTATTTGCGTAGCATCATTGATGAACAGGGTGGATCTGATGCAGATGTGAAGGGGCGGATCGGCAAAGCAAGAGCAGCATATTTACAACTGAGGAACATCTGGAACTCAAAACAACTGTCAACCAATACCAAAGTCAGGATTTTCAATATATATGTTAAGACAGTTCTACTGTATGGGGCAGAAACCTGGAGAACTACGAAAGCCATCATCCAGAAAATACAGGTGTTTATTAACAATTGTCTACGCAAAATACTTCAGATCCATTGGCCGGGCACTATTAGCAACAACGTACTGTGGGAGAGAACAAACCAGATCCCAGTGGAGGAAGAAATCAGGAAGAAGCGCTGGAAGTGGATAGGACACACATTGAGGAAAGCACCCAACTACGTCACAAGACAAGCCCTCACATGGAATCCTCAAGGAAAAAGGAAAAGAGGAAGACCAAAGAACACATTACGCCGAGAAATGGAGACAGACATGAGAAAAATGAACAAGAATTGGATGGAAATAGAAAAGAAGGCCCAGGACAGAGTGGGTTGGAGAATGCTGGTCAGCGGCCTATGCTCCATTGGGAGTAACGAGAGTAACGTAAGTAAGTAAGTAAGTAAATGTAAACGCATGAACTCACTATTTCAATAGATTCTTAACCGAAAAAACAAACAGTTCATAGAGGAAAAGATGAAGTAAAATTCAAGAACTTTATACTGAATATAAAGTTTTAGGTGTACTGTAGTGTTCAATTTGGATTATTTATAATGACCTTTTTAAATTAAATTTACATCGGTTTGATGGTAAACATTAATTTTTAGTGAAAACTGTATTCATTCTAATCAAAAACCATCAAACTGTCAACATGAAATAGGTAAGGAACTTTGTACAGATTGGCAGCGATTGATATGGTAAGTAGATCCAAGGATGAAGACTTATGTAATGAAAGAAAGGTGTCGGGGGGGGATCCTAAGTATTCTTCAAAAATTCCAGAGGTGCACTAAAATACTGAAAGTATTTTATCCAACCAGCGTTGAATAGAAGTTTATCAGAAACATTTAGATAGTAAGGAGTCATGTTGTCACATTTCTCATTGAATGACTACCTATCCTGATACTATGTTTAATGTGGTTCCAGAAAATTCCAGAAGTCAATAATCATTTGATATACTGTAAACACCGACTTTCTGTACATAAATTAACTTTGGAGTAAAACGTTCATTTCACACTACACGCCTTTTCTCTCGTGTTCAAGTTGTTCAGTGAATTTAGCCTAGGGTTATTAGGTAAATGACTTAAGCGTTCAGTTAAAAGACTTATCACGATTAGATCAAAAGGTCTAAATCTTTGATTCATTCATTTAGAGGGAGAGAGAGACAGGCATGATGATCTTAAAAAGAAACAACAATTTTAACTGGGCTACTATACTATCAAGCTAAATAGGTTTCAGTGTAATTTTGGTTCTTGTGTGTTTATTTGAATTCATTGTCATATGAACGAAAGATACAACATTAGTTACACTTTAGTATACCAGTATACCAGTTCCACTGTACGGAGCTGAAACTTGGAGAACTACACCAATCACCATCAAGAAGGTACAAGTATTTATAAGTGGTTGTCTTCGCAAGATACTCAACATCAATTGGCCGGATACCATCAGCAACAGCCTAATGTGGGAGAGAACAAACCAGCTTCCAGCTGAAGAGGAAATTAGGAAAAGACGATGGAAATGGATAGGATATACATTACGCAAATCATCAAACTGTATCATAAGGCAAGAGCTAACTTGGAATCCTGAAGGGAAACGAAAAAGAGGAAGGCCAAAGAACACATTGCGTCGGATAATAGAAGCAGATATGAAATACAGCTGTAAGGAGCTGGGAAGGACTGCCCAGTACAGGGTTGAATGGAGAATGCTGGTGAGCGGCCTATGTTCCTTCACGAGGAGTAACAGGCGTAAGTAATTAAGTAAGTATACCACATAAAAATCTGGTAAAGCAAAGAGTTTTGACGGAAATCTTACCCTTATTTTGTTATGGCAGTTAGAAATAAATGAAAATTATATGTATAAATACACTCATTTACACAGTGATTTTACTCACCCTGGACGATTCGTTCACAGTAAGGGAAATACATAGAATAGTTACAAAAATTCAAACGGCAAATGATACTGAACTAATTTTACACTGAATTAATGCAGATGATATTACCTTGAATAAATATTATACTTGAGTAAATCAATTCGTATTCACAAACTAAACATTTGCATTCAAAAGAAGTTTGTACAACCATTCACATTACCTTATTCATCGGTATAGGGGAGTTTGTAGCAAAACTTTGATAAACTATTTTCGCATCTCTTCCAT